GAGACAGCAGAAAAGGTCAGCTAAGTTGATGTTAGGTGAAATGAACCCTAAGGTAAGTATTCAAATGTTTTTTCTTTCATGCAATTGTTTCTAACATATTTATAAGATGATTTCTTTGTTGCTTTGTATGTCCCTCCCCCACAGTATCACCCCTGCTTTCACTGTATTTGATGTTGGTATAATTTGTGGAGGGGAAGGGAAAAAACAAATCATTTAAATAGGGATACAGGTGGACTCACTGCAACAATGAGATGTACAAGTCCTTATGTTGAAAAACGAACTTTACAAATTTGGCGGGGCGGGGGGGGGGGGGGGAAGAGAAGGAACAAAATAAAAACAAAAACAAAAAAAAGTTCTGAACCACATGCTCCCACCATGATATACTATATTATGCCTTCACAGGCCCAAAACAACAGGTCCAAACAACCATGGATTAAAACCTACAAGACTGTGAGCTAAAACATCCTGCTGTTTCAAATTCACTTCTCTCTGGCACTTTCTCACAGAGACAAAAAGCAAACACTAATAACAGAAGTAACATGAAAATAATATAATTTCGGTTAGAATTTTAATCATGGTTTAGAATGTTTTATAATTCCCCATCTGAGTTTTAAATAAGACACCGTAATATACTGACATTTATTACAATTATTGGCATATTTGAATTGATTTCTACCATCTTTCCTTTTCTCTCTCTCCTCATCACCACCTGAATCTTCTATATATCTCTAGCTTCCTGTCTTGTCTGCTGGAAGACCGCAGATGACACTTCTAAGCTCTTAAAATGATCATTTCTATATACATATTAGAAACTGTATCATTCTGTTCTCAGCCTTACAGCAAATAAAAGGAAAAAGAGGAAAAGCAGAGAAAGAGTGAGGAAAGGATAGAACAGAACAAGCGTCAGTGAGAACTTACTTTGGAGTGGGGGAGAGGAACTCTTTCAGCAGTTTCTGCGATCCTTGCACATCTAGGTAATGCCTCTTTTAGAGCTATCGTTCTGTCAGCATTTCCTTTACTTTTCTTAGCTATTCAAGGTACTCAAGCTCTCTGTCTCTTTTTGTAACCATCACTCTTAAAATGGTTTACTACCTGATCTTTCTTTCCTGATCTTTGTTTTAGGCAAGCTATTTTAGTTAAAGCACTGTAAGGATTTATGAATATAAGGTGCCATAAGAAATTATGGGAATGTAGCTCAGTGGTGAGAGTACATGCTACTTCTGCAAGAAGCGCTGGGTTTGAAACCCAGTTATGGTCCATACATGGCAGAGATGCTATTTGAATCCAAGTAATCTGGCTTTTGTCCTGACCTTAACTACAGGGATGTACCATACAAATAAATTAAGAGAAGTTAGGAGAAAATGGGATTTTCTTTCCTTTGTGAATCATATTTCAACAAGTATGGGTATTACATATGAATGCACTATCATTTGATAAATTGAGATTATCATCCCTTCAAAATTGCTAACTTGAGCTGGGTGCAGGTGGCTCACACCTGCCATCCTAGATCCAGGAAGCTGAGAGAAGATCTTGGTTTGAAGCCAGACCTGGCAGAATATAAATGAGCAAAAAACTGAACTGAAGGCATGGCTCAAGTGGTAAAGTGACAACTCTGAGCAAGAAATTCTATCTAGAGCATAAGGCCCCAAGTTCAAGCTCTGGTCTGGCACATACATATAGAAGAATTGCTAACATGTCTGTCTTGTCTGTGTTCAGTCGATTTTATTATAGTCATTTTAAGAGGAGGAGACTGAAGTTCAGATAGGTTTAGTATGCTGCCCCAGATCATACAACTAGGATCTAGGAATGTTTCCAGTGTGCTTGCTCCCAGTGTTACAGAGCAAGGTCTGGAGGGAATGTGCTCATGTATACTGGGAGTTCTGGTTATAGAGGTTCCTTTGTTCCTTGCTCATGCCACCAAAGGGTTCATGTTGAGAGAACTGTCTGATCTTGTTCAGGATGAGCTGGCTGTTTCAGCAGAGTAGAAAGAATGTAAGTAAATTCTATCTTCTGGTGTGGGAGAGATAGATGTCTAAGTCTATGTACACGCTGGAATTGCTTTTCACTTTTAGAGACTGAGGAGCAAAGAAGAATAAATATAAAAGATGCTCATGTTTTGTGACAAGTGTGCTTTTTTTTTCTTTTTTTGGTCGGTCGTGGGGCTTGAACTCTGGGCCTGGGCGGTGTCCCTCAGCTCTTCAGCTCAAGGCTAGTGCTCTACCACTTGAGCTACAGCGCCACTTCCGGTTTTCTGGTGGTTTATTGGAGATAGGAGTCTCACGGTCTCTCCTGCCCGGGCTGGCTTTGAACCGTGATCCTCAGATCTCAGCCTCCTGAGTAGCTAGGATTACAGGCGTGAGCCACCAGCGCCCGGCGCGACAAGTGTGCTTTTTAATGTGCGTAAGAAGATACAGTTGCTACTTAGAACATATTTTCCTTCTTCAGATTTTTTTTGCTTCCTTTTCTTTGCCTCAAACCTTATACTCTCTGTAGTTGTTTTTTATTTATTATTGTTTTTATTGGTCATGGGGCCTGAACTCTGGGCCTGGGCACTGTCCCTGAGCTTTTCAGCTCAAGGATAGCACTCTACCACTTGGGCCACTGCACCACTTTCAGCTTTTTCTGCTTATGCGGTGCTGAGGAATTGAACCCAGGGCTTCATGCATACAAGGCAAGCACTCTACCACTGAGCCACCTTCCTAGCCCCACCCTCTGTAGTTCCTAGCACTGTATATTCAATCTCCTCTTCATTTAGGTGCTTCCTAAGAGGTCTCTCAATCACTACCAGCAGATAATCCTCCAAGACAATGTTGTTAGTGCCTTAATAGATCTCTTCTTCCTGAAAGACCCCAATTTTCTTTTCTGGCCTTTTCTCCCTAGACCCCAAATCTACTCAAACTAATCTGGGATCTTTCTCCTCCAGTGTTGGCTCTTACTGATCATGGTATCAGGAACTCTTTCCTTATTCACATTTAGCTGTTTCAGTTATTTTTCAAGCAAGTCTTGGAGCAAGAACTCATGACCTGGAAGCTGTCCCTGAGCTTTTTCTTCCTTTCTATTTCCTCAAGACACGAGCCACAACTTCATTTCTTGCTGTCTCATGGACTTTCCTGCCCAGGTTGGCTTTGAACCTCAATCCTCAGATCTTAGCCTTCAGTGTAGCTAGGATTACAGGCGTGAGCCTAGAATAGGTTATTTCTTTAAGGGTCATTTCAAATGTAATCTCTTTTGTCTTCTTTGATGACTCTCCAAGTAGAAATAATCCCTTCCTTGTCTAACACTGGGTATTATATTGGGTGTAACTCTTACAAGACTTGACATTCTGACCTGTACTGAAGATAATGTGCATCTGAACTGTCAGTTGCACTAAGATTAACTATGTGTCACTGACCTTTGTATTATAAGTAGCACTAGAAGAGACATTCATATTTGTAGACATTGATCAAAAACAAAAATCTGATTTTTGTAATGTAAAGTAAGTCAAAGTGTTCCATAAATGTGAATGTGTTCTAGATACAGAGAATTCTATCAGTGTAAGAACCAGTCAAAGGAACCTCAGAGTGCATTATTATTAATATTATTACTTTAAAGGTCAGATTCTTAATTGGGGCACTAGGTGTAGACACAATGGTGGGAAACATCTGCTAGGTCAAGAAAGACATCCAGCATTACCCGAATGAGAGCCTCAAAGACCAGCTTAGAAAAGGCTAAAACAAACAGTTCAAAGGCATCTGTGATATGTGGCGTAATTGTTCATTTCTTGACTTTAGTTCGGTTTGGCTGAGTACTAAATTTCAGACTTGCAAACTATTAAGGTTTGATTAGACGACACATTTTGAATGTCCTATTACAAATCAGATAAAGCTTCTAAGCAATAGACCTCCCTAACAAAGACCCAAACTCAAAATTTAGCTCCTCCTCCCAAGGGAAAAAAATAAATAACAATTTGGGAAGAACCACAATTTATAGAGCTAATCGGGGAAGCCTGGCCCCTCACAGAAACATCGCATGAAAGCATCGTCTCAGGTACTGCGTCATTTATTTGGCTTTGTTGTTGTTGTGAAAGAGGACACAAGGCAAAGATGGGAAGGATGGGAGAAAATCAGTTTAACTTATATTTAAACAAATACCTTTATAGGACAAACAACAACATGAAGACTTCTCCCCCCCCTCCCCCCCCCCGTTCTGGACCTGCAGCCCACGTGGAGTACAATGAAATGCACCAATCACTGGAACAAAGGCAACAGGCACCTGCAAGCCCTCAATCCCTTTGCATACATTTCCGCCAAAGCGGTGCCAAAGTCGGTGATGTGGCGGAGGAAGGCCGGGGTGGGGGGGTCACCTTTCAAACACTACGAGCTCCTTTTCGTAAACCCAGGGACAACTGGGGACCCCCTTTCCCGGGGCTCCAGAGCCCTGAACGGTCCCGGGTTTTCAGACGAATCTCTCCTCCTACCACACGTGACCGAATGGCAAACAGCCGCCTAGAGAGACACCGCCACGCACCAGCCGCGGGATACAAAGGCTCACCGCCGCCGCCGCCGCCGCCGCCGCGTCCGCGGGACCTCCGCGGGGCCAGCCTCCCGCGCTCGGCGTCTGCGGAGCTTGCGTAGGGCGCCGCCGCCAGACGCGCTGCCGTTCCCGGGCCCGCAGGGCGGTGCCGCGCAGCGCAGCGCAGGGAGCGGGAGCGGGGCGCGCGCCGCCGGCCCAGAGCGCCTGCCCACCCAGCGCCGCCGGAGCAGGGGTGCCCAGCAGCACGCAGCGCGCCGCGCCGCGCCGCAGCAGCCTTCGCCGCCGCCGGCTCGCCGCCCGGAGCTTCGCAGCGACTTGGACCAGGGTGAGAAGGCCGAGGGCTCCCGGCAACCGAGCAGGCCCAAGATCGAGCCGTCCCATCCCCCCCGCCCGTCGGGCCTTCCCGTTTCCTCCGGGCTCCGGCGCCTCCCCCGCGCCTCCCCCGGGGACCTCGGCGCGAGCTGCGGGGCGCCGTGAGCGGCACTTACACCACGGCTCTGGAGATCATCCAGGACACCATCTTCCCGGGGACCAGGGCCTCCACTTCGGGCCGGGTGGGTGCTGAGCGCGGCGGATTAGGCCGCCAACGGCAGGCCGCGCGCTCTCCGGCTCCTCGCGCTTCCCGGGGCCGCGCTGGCGCCCTCGGGAGCCGGGCCCGGTGTCTGCGCGCCGCGGCCTGAGCTATCAGGCGGTCGGTCCCCCGCCCGTCCCCCTCCCGTCCCCGCCCGTCGGCCCAGCCGCGGCGGAGTCGGTCGGCCCCGCCCCTGCGCTCCGCTGATAGGCGGCGGCGGCGGCGGTGGCGGTGGCGGTGGCGGCGGCGGCGGCGGCGGCGGCGGCGGCGGCGGCGGTGGTGGAGGAGGAGGAACGTGGGCCAGGCCGGGGCCAAGCGGCGGGTGTGGGGGATCTGAACTGGGAGGACCCTTGCCAGAGCCTCCCGGCCTCGCAGCCGCGGCCCGATCGCCGCCCTGGCGCTCTAACCCTCCCTTCCCCGCCTCCCCGAGGCCTTGGGACGCCCGTCCGGTGGTGAGAGGAGGTGGGAGGCCGACGACCCGGACTTGAGGGTAGGGGTCGTTTACTGCATGTGTGTGTGGGGTCGGGGGCGGGGGGGGGGGAAGGAAGTGTTAAGCAGGAGCCATGTCGGATGGAATCGTTTGGATCGGGCTTTAGATCCTGGGGAGCCAGGATTTTGAGAAGTGCTGGTCTACATCCGGTCCCCACGCGTTGGAGGAGGCCTGGGCACCAAGGGCATCCTTACGGGGTACCGCATTTCAAGGGGAACCGGAATAACGTCGGGAGCGCTTTGCACAGGCCTCTCGGTGGTGTGCCTTGCGGCCCTTGGTGCAGTGCGGGGAGGGGCCGAGGAGAGCACTGGGTTTCTTGTTTGCGGTAGTGGGTGTAATGGGATTGCTGTGCTGGGCCTCTTAAGGGCACCTTTGCCTCGGAGCCTGTGCAAAGGTTGTTTTACAGACACGGATTTCCAGTATTTCCGTGAGCCTGCCAGATACTCGGAGCAAGAGCAAAAGCAAAAGCTGGACCTAGGATTCTCGATTACAAGGTTAGATTACTACTTACGCCTTCCAGTTATTGCAAGTACCATTTAAAAGGAGAATATGGAAACTTCTGTTAGGTCGTCGTCGTCGTTGTCAGTACCAGATTGGGAACACGACCTTAAAGTTACCGTTCGTCTTATTTATTTACTTTTTGCTTTCAGTTAAACCAGTTTTGTAGATTTCCCTACTATTCAAATAGTAGGAAGAAGAAAAGAAGAAACATGGGCCTGGAGCCTTTCATGAAAGCAGTAGAAAAATGTGATCCCTTGGTTCGTGACACACTTACTTCATTTATTTTTTGTTCCTCAGTTTCCTCATAATAAAAAGAGGCTAATAATACTGTACCCTGTCTCTTGCTTTCAGGAGTGATAGGAGGCACTGCTAAATAATATGTTTTAAGAAGCAGTCTGACTTGCTTGGAATAAAACCAAGTGTTAGGTAAAGATGATCTTCAGTTTTTAGTTCCCAGGGTCAACCAATTAAGTAATATCTTGATTATGAAAGAAAAGAGATCAGGGTTGTGGGTGGTTTAGCTTATTAGTATAGCACTTGCTCACCATGTGTTTTGCTCTGGGTTTCCTTTCATCCCCCCCCCCCCCCACCCCCTTCCCCCAGCAAGAAATGAGGAAATTACAAACTGCTTCAGCTCTTTTTGCTTATTCATATTGATACATTTTATTCTACAAGTCATAATACTGACATTTGTCTAAGTCTTAGTTTTGGCTGTATTCAGCATTTAGTTGCAGCTCATGTGGGCCACATAGCATCAGTTTTCTAGGGGAATTTTCTTGTCTAGTATATACCTTAAGTGCATTTCAATGTCTTTCAAATTGTCTTTACATCCTTAATTTTTACTGCAGTCATCCCTGCATTTTGAATGCCTCCGTGGCAGTCAAAATGTCCTTGATTTTTCTCAGTGCCCTCATGGTTTACTGCTTCACTTTCCTTTTATTTTCCTTACACTTACTGGCTAATCTACTAGATGGATAACAAAATGTTCAATAACATGCATATGTCCAAGTATCTTGCCCATGATAGGATAAAGACCCAATAAAAATATTCTCTTTAAGTATCAAACAAATATTTCTTTCATATGTATTTCAGACCTCAGTGAGAGAGAGGTCTCTTAGAAATGTATATCTGGTCTTGCTTTCTTACTTTGAGGGGGTGTCATGAGTATCATTTTGGTGAGTTGTAAATAGTATCAATGTTTTCAGGCATTTCTTGAGCCCTTTTGCTTCATTTTATATGTTGTATATCTTACAGCTCCTGGCCTTTTTCAATTTATGCTTCCTTTTGCTGGTTTTCTTCTGTTTACCTGAAGCAGTCCCCTTCTTATCTCAGTAGGCCATGGGTTGGAAATCACCTACCAAATGTTGAGTCATTCAGGCATTTCAGAAAGCCAGGTGTGTTTTTTCTCTTTAATATTATAGAAACTGAGATTCTGAGAAGTTCACCCACTGGCCAGTGAACGAACACATTCTCATTTGTAACAGACAAGACTCTAATCCACATTTGCTGAGATTCTTTACATTCTGTGATAAATAGATAGCTGAATTAGGTCTTAAGGCACTGGCTCCCAGTGGAGATTGCCTCTACTGAGATATTAGGAAGCATTTTTTGGATTGTTGTACTGAATTAAGCCAGGAATGCGCCTTTTTTTTTTTTTTAACTTTATGTGAGACAGACCTAGAAAAAGAATTTTCCCATATCCTTCATGATTTAGGAATATCTTGCCTGCCATGTAATTCTTGTAATTATCTGAGCCTAAACCCACTTTACATTTGAAGTACTGATTTTCCTGCTTTTACAACTGTGGTGTCATTTCAAGGAGGCTTTGTCTTGTTTACTGTTTGATCAATAATTGTTAACAGTTTTGCAAAATTGTCTCAAAAGCCAGTTTTGCGTTTAGAGTAATCATGTTACATGGCTACTAATTGTTTTGTCCAGGCATTTATATATCCATGCTTATTGTAATCACTTTTCTTTTTCGTTCATATTTTGTTAGGATTTGAAATTGTCTATAGGAAGATTGTTATTCATTTTATTTCAAGGTGGTAAAGCAGAAATTGGGAAAAGAATTTTAAGGAAGAGGTTGAATCTAATAAGGGTGAGAAATTATTAGACTGAAGTAAAAGTAACTTGGTTTGAAGAGGACCCATATGAAAAGGGCCTACCTTTTAATGTTGGGTGTAGTTTCTGTTATTGGACTGCCTCAGACAGTTGATCTGCTAATGGTTGGCCATTAGATAAGTGCTCTACTGTGTAAGGAAAGGCTCTAGGGACAATGGGAGATAAGGAAATACAGTACCTTCTGCTAAGAATCTTTTGGATTGCTTGTGATCTTTTCATTTAGAGATTATTTTTAAAAGTTCGAACATAATTGTTTTGTTATCATATATTGTCCCCAGTATTCTTGTATTGTACTGGTACATTGTACTGCTGTGTGCCTTCTTTTTGTTCTGCAAACCTGCAAAGATATTTTTTTCCCTGTGTATTGAATTTAATCATGATGGGAAGCAGTATTAGGGTAGAGACTATTTCCTCAAGAGACCATTCATGCTCCCAGTAATGTGATGTTTGACAAGTCATAGTATGCTTGCTGTTAAATGGGTATAATAGTGGTAGATCAAATGTAAAATGCCTTAAGACTTAAGGGTAATGAGATGCATTTAAAAGAATTGCTTTCTTCCACCTTTTCACTTAGTTGTCCTATGAGATGTAGAATGTTCATTTGCTGCTGTATGTTAACAGAGTTCATTTATTAGCAAATCAACAAAGTGAGAGGTATACCTAGGATAGCAGAATTAGAGTACTGAGATAGTATCTAATCACGTAATAATTAATTAGTATGCTAATGAGAATGAATACTAGGTCACGTTCTCATTGCTAATGGGAGAGAATTCAATGGCATGAAAACATTTTTATTTGGAAAAAGGCTAGAATTACTAAACCAATTTATCTTTAATAGTAACTTAGAAAGTAGTACTAGGATGGGGATAAGACTGACGTAAAAGAAGAAACATTCTTTTTCCATTTGTTACCGCTTCCTTATCTTGTCTACTTATGGTATTATGTTTACGATGGAAATTATCGTCATGACATCTGACCAAAAATACAAAAAGTGATGACAAATTGTGGATTTGGTGTGTGTGTGTGTGAGGGGGGGGGGGTGAGGAAGAGAGGGAGAGAGGGGGGAGGAAAGGAGAGAGGGAGAGGGAGAGAGAACAAACTCTGGGTCTTGCTCTGTCAGTTAGCTTTTTCATTCAAGTCTGGCATTCTACCATTTGAGCCACACCTTCACTTCCTGCTTTTTAGTGGTTAATTAGAGGCTTTAGTTCACAGACTTTACTACTTGTGCGGGCAATGTTCAGATCTCAGTCTCTTGAGTAGCTAGGATTATTGGCCTGAGCCACCAAGTGCCTGGCTTTGTGGACATTATTAATAGCAGTTACCTGTGTTAGCTTTCCATCAGATACTATGACACTGTATCTGAAAGAATCATCTCAAAGAAAGAAAGTTTTATTTTTGCTCACAGTTTCAAGAGATTTTAATTCATGGTCATTTAGCTCCATTATTTTTGGTTGTGAAGTGAGGCAGGGATCTTGTAGCTGAGAAGCAGAAAAAGGAGGAAGGACTAGAGTCTCAGTATATGTATCCTACATAGGCATGTATCACAATGACCTACTTTTTCTAATTAGGCCCTACTTCTATCTCCTCAGGGTTCACCACCTCCTATTAGTGCCAGCAACTGGAGTCCAAGCCTTCACCACTTTTAAGCTCCCAGCATTCATCCTAGTACAGTTTGACAGTCAGATATGTCTTGCACAACATATCTTGCATTGCATAATCTTAATTAAGGTAGATAATATTGTTAATTCACTTAATCAGGCATCACAGGGGTTCTGTGAATGAATAGGATAAAAAAAAATCATGTATTCTTCCACTAACCTTTATCGGAAATAAAACATATTCTTCCATTATCAATGAAGAAAACAAACCCCAGTAACAGTAGTATTTTTAATTCTTTTGATAATAGAAATACGGTAAATAAGGATAATAGCTCTTGGTGAAGTGATGCAATGGCTCTTCCAGAATATCTTGGTGCTTTGTCACTTTTTGGCAAGCTAATGCAAGT